TTGGGCACATATGGTGCACTAGCACGGTCAAAACAAAAATTATACACCTGACCTTTCCGATTGCAATAGGTGCAATGAAGAGGTTTAAATGATTTGTGTTGACCAAGTAGGCATGCGTGGGAATTATTTGCAAATAAAGATTTTTTTTAATTATATCGCAAATGAGAAACATCTTTAAACAAATGTGGTTTACTTAAGAAATTTGGCAAGTTTGAATATTTTTTCAAATCATAAAAAAACTTCGCCAAATAGCCAAATTTGCCACAAACATCATATTTTAAAACATGTAGTCTACTAGAAACATTTTGCAAACTTGAATTCTTGTTCAAATCAAAGCAAAACTTTGCCAAATGGCCAAAACAACCACAAAGATCACAATGATACACATGAGCATACTTATGATGAATAATAGGTGCATGTGTGTTTACATGTGATGAAGAGACTTCGAGATGCACAAGAAGCATTGATATTTTTATATTTGTGTGCATCATAGAAAAATTTAGCTAAATGACCTTTACGACCACAAATGGAGCACTTGTAAACTTTGCTATACAAGTGTACATAGTGTGTAGGTGATTTATAAGTTATAGCACTAGAGTTAGCACACTTGTCCATAAGTTTCTTATGATTATCAATGCATGTGTTTAATGTTGAATCAAAACAATATATACAATTTTTTAAATAATTCAACTCATCATTATGCATACAAGCATTGGAAATAGAAGTAGATAAAGCATGATCATTTCTAAATGAATTAAACTCATTTCTAATAGTTTCTACTTCTATCATAGCATCATTATTAGCATGAGTTAAGCTAGAAATGGATGAAGTCAATTTTTCATTTTCCAATTTTAATATATCATTAGTTTCTTTAAGAGCAACATTTTCTTGAGAAATGATATCAAAATTGGAGTCTAGCTTCTCATGATTGGATGTTAAACTAACATGTTTGCTTTTAAGATCAATAAAATTATTTTGTAATTTAGTGTAGGCATGCGATAATTTCTCATATGCACAAGCGAGTTCATCAATAGATAAATCATTATTGGAATCAGAATCGCTTACTACACAAGAATTATCCTCTTGTGGCCGTGTGCATGATGCTCCACATGAACTTGAAGAAGAATCCTCCAAAGCTTATCGGATTGCCTCCAAATCCACTTGATGTGCTTTAATAAATTTTCAAAGTTTGTACGCACTATCAAAATGAACAAATTTGTTAGAAAAGGATGAGTCAAAAGCATTAAGCAAAAATTCTAACCAAAGCTTGTTTATTATAAATATTTTATTATCATGATCGCTCCATCCTTGTATGGTAATCAGATTATAGACTTAGATGATGGATCCACCCTTACTGTTAGACCCTAGAGGGGGGGTGATTAGCGTCTTATGCTAATCTAATCTAATTTTATGCTAATTAAAATTAATTAATAAGTTACCCTAGCAAGTAGAAATAGAACAATATATATGAGCTAGGATGAACAATATGAACTAAGGGGTAGATCCTAGCAATGAGATATACTATGACTTATATGCAAGTATATACAAACTAAAACAAGGGTGAAATAAACAATCTACCAAAGTGATAGGGCAATATGAAATGCAATACACAAAGGCAATATTAAATGCAATACACAAAGGCAATATAAGATATAAATATAAGAATAAGAACGCCAATGCAATCACAAACAAAACGATATGATTACGGAGTTCGGTCTAACCACTTGACCTACGTCTCCGCTCCTCACCTCGAGGAGATCTCCACTATTACAACCGAGTTTTCTATATTCACCCGAATAACGTTTACACCACATAATATGGTTTTCTAGTTTACCGAAAACTCTACAACAAACACACTCTTGTAATCCCACTCTACACCCTCTTAAGTGTTGAACTAGACGTGTTGATGCGGCATAATTATGTACCAAAATTGCAAGTACACAATTAATCAAGTTATAGCATAAAAAGTTATCGATCCCACGAGGAAGGTGATTTTAAGAGATTATTAGACTTGGTTCTTATGTTGTGTGCGTGACACAATAGGATTAAAGAATAAGTGTGATTGTGATGAGTGATTGTTGTGAATATATGCAAGAGACAATAAATTGAATTTTAGAGGAGAGAAGAAAGAATTAAAGAATAAATGAAATCATACGGCAAGAAAGAAGAATGAATAAAATCAAGAAATAAAAGAGAATTCAAGAAAGTTAAGATGGATGATTCAATTTAAAATATGAGAAATCTAGAATTTAATCCACTAGCAAATTTCAATTACAAAATACAAACTATTCTTTTTTTATCATATTTCAACTTAGATTTATTAAGCATAGACTATCAAACCATTAAAGGAAAATATAACATATCAAATTATCATATAAATTAAAATTACTATTCATGATAAGAACAACAATAAGATAGTAATCCTAGAATTCATAAGCATAACCTATCAAACCATTTAAGATAAGCATAGATTATCAAATTCTTCTTTTACCGATTAGTTTTCTAGTTGATTATCCTAAACATGAACATTTTAAGTGAAAGAGAATAATTTGCAAAATATAAAAGAAATTAGACTAGCATCATACAATTCTAAGATTCATACAAGAATTAATTTCACATCTTAAGAAATAAAAACAAGAAGAAAAAGAACTAATTACAAAAATAAAAAGAAAAGGAAAATCTAAACTATGAACAAGAAATAAATCTAACTACAAAGAATTAAAATCTAAGCTACAAAATATATTACAAAAATTAATTACAAGAAAATAAATCTACTCTACAAATTAAAGTGCAAAAAATAAATAAAAAGACAAAATAAATCTATACTACAAGCATGAATTTAAATCTAACTAATAAGCAATAATAAAGAAATTACTAAAAAGAAATAAAAGAGAAAAGAAATGCAAACCTTCAAATTGCTCTTCATCTCCATCCTCATCATTCAACAAAGAGGAGAAAGAATAAATTTAAAGAGGAGAAAAATTATTATTATTAATTGCAACTAAAGTTACAATTTTTGGAAGGCCTTCTCAATTAAGAGTAGCCCTCCTCTCCAAAAGGAGTTTACAAAATTTTCACACCTCTAACCCCTCACTCTCTACCCCTATTTATAGTAAACATCAGTGAATGAGAGCCATTGGATCGAAATCTTATCCAAAAACATCAATTTTCAGCCTTTGATTCGTAACAAACCGCCCAGCGTATCGATACCAGCATCGATAGGGGTATCGATGCTGGCATCGATACGGGCATCGATGCGGGCATCGATGCCCCCATCGATGCAGGCATCGATGCCTGCTCTACTCCTGTTGCTGTCCGCAGAACTCTTGTATTTTGCTTTTGGGCTTGTGTCTTGGGCTTTGGCTTGGACTTTTGGGCTTGGCATTTTCTCTTGATTTTCCATTGGCAGCCAAGTCCGGCCCAATCATATAATTAAAATCCAAATATGCAGCAGTCCAGCCCATTTGCATTTCTGCAGCAATTAAGTTTTTGGCATTTGATTTTCAAAATCACCTCTGCAGCAGTCCGGTCCTTGGAGCTTGATTTGGTGTAATCTTTTTGATAGGCTTTGGGCCTTCAAATTCTTATATTTCACTTGAGAATTGGCTGTGTTTCTCTTATTTCTTCATTTACTCAAGGGTCTTTGTTGAGAGATGGGATTTTTGGGATTTATTTTTCATTAACCTGCAATTAAAGATAAAAAATAATTATTAGTGGTATATTTATTCATATAAAATGGATAATGAGGATATAAAATTGTAATAAAATATGATTATCAAATACCCCCACACCTAAACTATTGCTAGTCCTCTAGCAAAGAAAATAAAAAGGAAATCCTAACTCACTTTTGCAGGAATCGCGGTTGTATTAAGCGCATACAATAAGCCTTTAAAGCACTAGGTTACCCTAGTGGACAAGTTGTAGTCTCGTGAGGGTTTGTAGTGAATATACCCACAAAATTCGATCAACTTGCCAAGTTAAATAAGTCAGTAAATAACAGATTTTCCTTGATATATTTAAACATTCTAATTGAAGCTAGTTAATAATCAAGAAAATGTTTTTATATATAACTCCAATGTAAATCCCCTAGAAAATCTTTTTCATTATAGCAATACAAAACCAAGTCAAATCTTAGAAATTTAATTAAAAAGTTTTGAAAAGAACATGCCAACTCTTTGTTTTAAATAACTTTCAAGTCTCTTGATCAAAAATTGTTTTTCAAGACCATATATACAAAACAACAATATATATATAAAAACAATGGTTAGTGATATATATATATATATATATATATATAT